TNGTCGTATGTTGAATAGTAGATGGACTGGAAATTCAAGATGTTAGTTTTTGTTTTTTTTCTCCACATGTTTATTCTGGAAGTCTGCAACAGTGTCCACATTGCAGTAGACCTGTCCACCTCTTTCCAGTTGAAACCTGCGGCCTCACTCTTATCCAGAAACGACTGAGTTCTTTAACACATCAGCGAATTCTCAGCACAGTGTCATTCTGAAGCAACTCTCTACATAAAACCAAACTATTAATCTCCTGTAACAGTCAGTCGCACCTGACTTCCCTTCTAGAACATTATGCTGCACTTACATGTACCTGATATTCTGCTTGAAATGCTGTCTGGCTCATTGTGCTGTGGGACTTGTGATAAAGGAAAAGACTTCAGGAGCATGCTGTACACTCTTCTGTGAATGGAGACTCACTTGATAACAGTGGTGAGGAAATTGGAAGCAAGGGGTAGTTACGAGGCTAGGAGAGAGATTCGGCACTCCAGAAATTACTGTTTCAAAGTCCGGAGGCTGTATCCTGCATGATATAACAAGCCCTAAAAAAAAAAAACTAAAAAAAAAAGAAAGAAAAGCTTTAAAGGAAGTGCCTCATTGTTTGGCTTGGCATGCTAATTCAGAGTTTAGTTTTATCTGTGTTTGCTAGCGAATGGAGGGGGGGGGACAAGAAAGTGCAGCCATGAGTCACACAGTAGGATGAGGGAGGACAGGCATGAATGTGTGAGAGGTGTTATAAAGAAGCCATGGTAATTAGCACCACGGGTGAAGCATCGTTAATCCTCACCTAGTAATTAAAGCTCAAAGGTGTGTGATGCAGTGCCATGAGTACACCACCCTGATGCAGAAAGGCTGTGCAAAACAGTCACTTCCCCTCACAACAAATCCATCAGACTAGTCGCTAACATGTTGGACGTGCAGCCGCTGATGTAATTATTGCAGCTGCAAATTAACACCTTGCGAGAAGGTCAGCTACCTTTTCCAGAACCGTAACAAGTAGTTAGAAGAGCGAGCTGCTGTTTTGCTCCATGAAAACCAAATAACAGTGGTATGAAAGAATTTGAATAACACCGTTTGACATCGCCTTTTACCCTCAGCCTCCAAGGGCCGCCCACCACCCATCATCCGGCAGGGCCCGTCCAACCAAACGCAAGCTCTGGGAGGCGTGTCCGTCCTCCGGTGCCAGGCCTCAGGAGATCCAGAGCCGACAGTCACCTGGAGGAAGAACGGGGCGAATCTGCTTGGACTAGACCCACGATTTTCCTTACTCGAGCACGGCAGCCTTCAGATCCAGAACACAAGGGTGGGTTAGAGTGGATTTTCCCAAAAAATAATAGTAGCTTATGTTTCTTTTTGACTCTGCTTATTGTTTTTTTCATTGTTTTTTTTTTTTTTTTTAATTACAAGATTGTGTGTCTCGATAATTGATTTCACCCCTAATTTTGACAAATCCAAAGATGCCAAAAAATCCTTAACATAAAGCAGAAATCATAAGAGATAACTTATCATTTAGTCCCCCCTGACTCTGGGTTAAACTGTTTTATAGAAAGCATTTGGCTGGGGAGCACGACGCTTTCACAAGCATCCCTTTCAGTTTGTCAAACCTGAAGTGTTAAACATAATTGCAGGAAAACAAGTTTCACCCAGAAGTGGTTCTGTCAGGTCCTCTAACCTGATGCAGCAGATGGGCTGTTAGACGGAACAATCTCAGAAGTCCTCCGTCGAAACCATCTGGAAAATAGAGACTTTCAAAAATGCTTGTGATTGGATGGAGCACATGGTGGGAGAAAGCCGCTGCCGTTGACGACAACGTCTAAAAGCTCCACGAAACTGACAAGGCAAAAAAATGCTGATGTGTCCCAACAAAACATGAAATCCTTTGCTTTGTCACAAGCTTGAGTCTTATCTTAATTCAAAATCAAAAGCCACCAGAAGGACAACAAAATCTGGATTATTATCATTGCTTTATTTGCGCATCAAATCCGATGCTGCACTTTGAAGAATAAAGGGAGATTTGTTTGTCAGGTGATCTCAGCCGAGCGTAATTCAAAAGGACAAGTGCAGTCAGCTTGCTTTTAAAAGATGAATAGCAAGTATTGATTTTTATAAGTCGTTAAACGCTGCTTTTTGGTTTAAATCTCTGAGGCAGCAGTTCGACTCAAGGGCTAGGGTACAGGAACTGGTGAGTCGAGTCTGAAGGTGGTGGTATAATGGAGAATCCGCTGCACACAGTGTCATATTAAAGCACCACTCTTATGTCACTTCTTCCTCCTTTTGGGAGAAGGAGGTAGAGGAGTGACGTAAGTCTCTCTAAACGTTGCCGGTATTTTAAAAAAATAAATAAAAATCGTCGTCGTATTTCTCATTTCCTGTGTCAGCGCTGGATATGGGAATGTTGATGGTTATGGGAATGGCATGTGACCACTATTGGAGAAAATCAATTAAGAAAATTAATGTGAGCTTTTAATGGCATCTCTCTCTTTTTTTTTTTCATTGGCCAATGGTAAAGTTTCCACTTATCCACTCTACAGATTTCCCCGTGCCAAATGCAGGCCAGGGGAGGTTAATGCATTTTTACTGTAGTGCTGGCTGCAAACCTCCTTCAAAAGCCCAGACTGACGCAGGAGCTTGTAAAAGCCATCAGGGATCACAGTTACAAAGGCTGTTGCACTCAGCTGAACACGGGGACAGAGAACAAACTTGAAAGCAGTATCATGTGTGACATGGATCTGTGGAAAATATTTATGGGCTGGATTTAATCGGCGGCGCTGTCTTCCAACTGTTTGTTTTTTTAATGTTGTGTTGCAGCGCCGGAATTAGACTGTCATGTAGGACATTAAATATGAGCTGAATAATAATAATATCATTAATAATAATCATAATGTGGCTTTCACAGCTGTCTGACTCCGGACTCTACACCTGTGTTGCCACCAGCTCCAGTGGAGAAACATCTTGGAGTGCCTACTTGGATGTCAAAGGTCTGTGGAATATCCCGTCTGACAGATTAACACACTGCCGCAGTAACTTGGAAGCGTATTTATCCTCCTGGAACTTTTGTCACGTTTTGAAACTTTACATCCATAAACCTCTGTTTTTAAAGGCATTTTATGTGGCAGGCCTGACACCATGTGATGCATAATTGAAACGTGAAAAGAAAATACATGGTTTTTAGATTTGCTTTTTGTTTTTTTTGTTTTTGTGAGAAAGGAAAGCTGAAAAGTGTATGTATTCAAATACTTTTGTAAGTACTTTGCAGAGCAATTTGCTGCAAGATCCAAATCCAGTTGTAAGTGTTTGGAGGGGGGTGTTTCATACCAGCTTTGCTCATCTACAGACTAAAGTTTTGCTATCTTTTTCTCTGTGAAATATTTCAACTTCCGTCATAGTGAATGGAGAGTCTATGTTAATAGCAATTTTAAATTTCAAATTCTTTAGACATGGACAGTACAGTTGCATACCACACTTTTCAGCTATTTCTAAAACAAACATAAAAAATAAAATCATAAATCATTTTCCTTCAGCACAACTTTCGGTTGGTCTATGACAAAATCCCAATCGATTGTAGCGAAGTTCATTGTTGTAATCCAACAAATTGTGAAAAAGTTTGAGGCGTATAAAGCATAGCGCCTTCCCTTTGAGTTTGAGAGTTATTAATTCAGCCTCTCTCCCTTCCTCAGACTCCACTGACCTCATGGATTTCATGTCGCACAACACAACCGCCCTCCCTGGGCCGCCCTCCAAGCCAGAGGTCACTGACGTTACCAAGAGCAGTATCTCATTGTCATGGGAACCGGGGCCGGAGGCGGGTTCCCCAGTGTCCTCCTATGTCATTGAGGCTTTCGGGTATGTCTGTGACCTATGCCCACGAGCAACACTTAGTGACCCAAACTTTCATGGCAACAGCAGATGTACGGGGTCTCTGTGGGGAATTCAAGCAAGTCAGGGCGGGTTCAAGCAAAACAAGTCTGCAATGTAAGAGTGAGGAAATGCTCATGTGTTTGGGGGAGATCTACAGATTTTTGACCAAAGCCCATCTCTGGGCCACAGGAGCCATCTCCTTCCTGAGCATTATGATAGTGTTGGACATCCCCATTATGTCTACATTCGGATTTGACATGGAGAGATTAGCGAATCCATATCAGTGCAGACGGAGCGTCTGTAAGTCATGTTATTTTTGGAACTTTGTAGCAACATTTGAGCAGCACTTACATGGAACTCCATAGCAGTGGCGCATACGTCCGAAAAACCTATGTTCTTCTGGCTTACCGGGAGATCAAATGATGTATGCCGCATTATTAGATGCAGAGAAATGCTGCCTATCTTCCTCAGCATCAGCAACACAAGGCACATAGGCAGTAGTCTATCGCGTGTTTAATTTGATTCATTCTTTATTACAGTCAGTCTGTGAGTAACAGCTGGCAAACAGTGGCCGACCACGTGAAGACCACCGAGTTTACCGTCAAGGACCTACGACCAAACACCGTGTACCTGTTCATCATACGAGCTGTGAATGCTCAAGGACTCGGGGATCCAAGCCCAATGTCTGAGCCCGTCCGGACGCAAGGTGAGGAGATAAGACTGAACTGCAATAAATCATTTGTGTTAATTATCTTTGACCTACGTGGCTGCATCTCTCTTTTTTTCCCTTCTCCCTCAGACATTAGCCCCACAGTGCAGGGAGTAGACCATCGTCGTGTGCAGAAGGAGCTGGGAGACGTTGTGGTCAACATGCATAATCCTGTGGTCCTCAGCTCCACTTCAGTGCAGGTCACGTGGACGGTGAGAATACGTAAAATTAGGGGAAAAAGTTTAAAGTTGAGCATTTTATCCCTCTTTGACAATGTGACGAAAATCGGCTTGAGCTTTCTGCTTTTGCGTGCCTGTGTGTTTTGAGCAAGTTGGCATATGTGGGGCGAGAATGACATCACTGGTACACATTCAGTGTGAACACCTGCTGTTTAAATTGGTTTGAGGTGAAGCTAAAATAAAGACTAATGTTTGTGTTCAGGCTAAATACATCACCATTAGGAATTGCATGCCCCACCTTTGAGTGCAGACTGCAGGCAACACTTTATCCAGGGAATAATATTTTACTCTGCTGGCTGGGTCTCTATGGCACCTTCCAGAGTAGTACACTTCAGATAGGTTGGAACCAGACTGTTACCTAATGCTTTCCAAAAATGGCATCCGTGTGTGATAAACCAGATTTTTTGAAACAGACTGGTTACACAAGCATTTGATCTTTGTCCATTTTTGATAAGAACCAGCATATTAATTACCGCCACAGGTTTAATTGTCAAAGCCGGATATGAGCCAGGATAGATTTGACCTCATGTTGAAGAAAGAAAAAAAAAAAAGAACTAATAAAAAGAACAAAAAAAACTCACTTTTGCTGAATGCAATAAAAGTCCCGAGAGAAGGATTGCATGCATAAATTTACTGTTTTTCCAATTTTTAATATTGTATATCTAATAACATTAATTTGGCATTCCGCTACACAAGATGAAAATAGTGACTCTGGCCCAGTTTCCTGCTGGTTTTCCTCATTTCATACTTATTAGATCACAGATCCAATCTCAACTCAACCATTTCTTATCCACAGGGTCATTCTGGGGATATGCTAGAAAAAGTTCATGTTTTTCTGCGGAAGAAGATTGTGTGGGTTGTCCACAGTTTGTCAATTATAGCCGCAAATTTCAATAATTGACATTTAATGTCGTAGATCAATACCATATAGTGCATAATGTCTGAAGAGGAGGGAAGTTTTCATGCAAACACATTTGTTAAAGGTATCATTTGTAAATAAAGACCTGTGAAAGCTTCACAGGTTTGTTAAAGAACTGGTGCGACAGCTGGTAGTCCTCCACCAGCCTTAATTTATGTAAGAGTTGCTCAAAGACTGAAGTTCTGGAGGGAAAATAAACGAATGCAATGTTTTAATTTTTCTATCTCTTCACAATTATATGGTGTTTTGTTTTTGGTTTGTCTCATGACATACACATTAAACTGTGTTTGTAATGTGATGAATTAAGTAAAAAGCATTAGATTTATTTTTTTTTATTATTTTATTTTTTAAAAAAAAAAGCAAATGCATGCACATAATTTATAAGTTTTTGTCTCTGTTTCTAAGTAACTAAGCATTCGGATGACTGTCGATTCCCGTCTATCCCTGCCTAAAGGTGGAAAACCCATCCCAGTTTATTCAAGGCTATCGGGTTCTGTACCGACAAACCTCTGGGCTGCCCTCCCCCGGGCCCTGGCAGATCCAGGACGTGAGGATTGCCTCGGAGAGGGACGTCACACTCGCTGGTCTGAACAAAGGCATCGTCTATGAGATCAAGGTGCGACCGTACTTCAATGAGTTCCAGGGGGCGGACAGCGAATCCATGACGGCGCGCACCATGGAAGAAGGTAAGCGGCGAAGATTTATCCGCATTTCTAGCAAAATCGTTGTCTTTTCAGCTTAATGATAATGAAAATAATTTGGCATAGAGCTTTTAATCCACAAGCAACTGGTCTCACGTTGCGTTTCGATCTACTTTTGTGTTCATTTGCCACTGGTAAAGGCTTCGTGGTTTGATAGTAATGGATAATGGCATTTCAAGTACACCCACCCACCCATACTTACTGGCGCGGTGTTATACCCCCTGTGTGTGAAAACAGGTCTCCGAGACAGCACAGTGGGGCTCTGTGACAACCCAAGGCCTCTGTGGAATGGTGGGCAGAGGGGGTGGGCAGAAACTATCTCTTGTGACTGAAGCTCAGTTAACTGGGAAAGCTCTGTTTAGCTCTGGACCCCTGCTGCCATATTCCTGTCCAGACATGCATTATATGAACCCCCGCTGCTAACACGTTTACCAAGGGTGATAACACTTGTCTGTTTCCTCGTAGCTCTGCTGTTGTGTAAGTCAATTGATCAGCTTCTTGTCTAAGGTGTTTGCTGCACAAACTGAATATAACATGGTGGCAGAAAAGTCTAAAAAATATGTGAAGTTTATTCTGTGTGTGTGTGTGAATTGTTCTATTGACAAAACAAAATTGTTATACACTTTGAAGTTGTTCACATTTTGGAATCATACATGGCATTTTTTCTTTCTTTTTTTTTTCTTTTACCAATAAAATTTCTAAATAGTTCAGCCTGCAAATGTATTCACCCCCTTCTGTCTGCTATTCTGAATTAAGATTCAGGAAAATTAATTATCTTCATAATTGCCTATCTAGTACTGTGTAAAAATGTAATCTCAGTTTTGTTACAGAGTTTTATGTATCAGCCAGGCTCTTGAAGACTAACACACTTATAGGTAAGCGATAAGGTTCTTGGAGATGTTAACAGCGGGGTTAGCTTTTGAGACAAAATCTCAAGTTTTGAGCACCTCACTGTTTACTAAAACAGACGCACAGATTAGGGAGAGAATTTACCCAAAAGTAGATAAGAGACTCATTGCTAAAGCTAGGGGAGGTAAATATATTGAAAGCTCTGGTGGAAGAATCATTTGACAGAACAATCATTCATATGGTATTCCACAAATATGGCTCTGATGGAGATTGGAAGAGAAAGCCACTGGTGATAGAAAGCCAGAAGGTCCCATTACAGCTTGCCACAGGACACAGTAATTGTGTGGAAGAGAGCGCGTGTGGAGGTAGAAACTTTAGTAATGAGGCAGGAAAAGGCAGCTTGCTTGACATTGAGGAGTTAATTTAAAACAAGGAAGAAGAATTTCAGGACAAAGCACGGGCCTCCTTAACTCTGCTGACAGAGACCGTGGCTCCCTGTGCAAAGCACCTAACTCTAAGTTGCCAAACGACCTGTGTACGTGTGCAAACTTTAACAGGTGTGTGATTGAGTGAATGTGGCCCTTGTGTAAGCCACTTTACGTGGTCAGTATAACGAAAAAAGTTCTATATAAATTAAGTCCATCTATAAACATGAACAAACATTTTGGTTACAACAGAGTTCTTGTTCTCAGTTAACAATATAGTTTTCAATTTTGTCTTATTGATACACCCTTATGAATTTGTTGTCTTGAAGAGTATACCAAACTACATATTAAACAAGTTACAGACACAATTGTTAGAATGATATCTTACTGGTTAAACTGCTCTTGTCAGATGAGATCAAAATTGAAATTTTTGACCTGTTTGCAAACCTTATGTGTTTTCCAAAAATAAAACTGCAAATAACCCTTAACACTCCACTGTGAATCATGGTTGTAGCACCATCATCTTGTGGAAACACTTAAGCAGAGACATAGAAGTTAGCTAAAACTGATAGGAAAATATAATAGGTACCCTGACCATTGACATCCTTTGGTATTCTACTGGATTAAAAACTCGCTCCACAGACAGTCTGGGCTTTCTCCCATTTACAAGGATTGTCTCAAGTAGAATTTCTAGTGGACCAATCAGCAAACAGAAGAAGTTCTAAACGATGACATTGATTTTCTGTGCTGTAGTCTGCCTGTAGTTTCACCATTGGTTAGCAGAGGAATTAAGCAATACTGTTCAGTCCATGTTAGCCACTCTTCCAAATATTGAAGTAACATCAATAGCCGCCTCATTTGGCTCAACACTTCTCTTATTTTTAATGTAGGATGGTTTTTTACAGCACAGGTAATTTCCGGTAAGTGATTGAGTAACATTTAAAACTTCTACAGAGTCCACATTTCCAGGAAGCAATAGTTTCTCAATAGCTGAACGAGGTCGGACCCCTTTGTACGAAGCAAACAGCGTAGAACAAGGTGATGTTTTTTGTTGTTTTTTTGTTTTTTTTTACCAGGCTAAATAAAAGGTAAAAACCTGCCATTATTAGAAGAAGGTTCACCTTCCAGCATCACAATACCTCTAAACATATAAACGGAGCAATAATAATGTTTTAGATCAAAACATGATGATGTGTTAGAATGGCTCATCAGTCAAAGTCAGGCCTAAATGTGCTTGTCAAATAAGCATTTAGATTTAAACCAAATTGAAAGCCAAGCATTATTTTCTTTCTTAACAGTTCTGCACTAATGTTGCTGGTTTAATCACAAAAAAACATTTGTGGCTGTTAGATGATAAAATGGGCTATGTTTACTTTTGCATTACTTTGAATATCTGAAATAATACAGTTTATTCTTTGTGGTTCATATAGGTTGGGAAACACTGGATAATGAAATGTCATATAGAAGAACAATACATAAAGCAGATTTAGCTGTTCATAATAAAAATGAATCCAAAGTCCAATCCTTTTCCTGAGTATACTTTGAGCAGTCACTGGATCTGCTGACATCCTCTTGAACTATCTAATATAATTGGATGTACAGCATCCTTAGTACACAGATATAGCCAGCGCCTCTCTTGCAAACGATTCTCCCCAAGGACAAGAATGAATTATCGTGACTCATTCACATGACCCCTTTTACCTCCGAGTGACTCAAAGGAAACTTCAGTTCTCTGCGATCAGGTATGTCACTTGGACTCCAGCAGAAGCGGTTTGCACTTTGACGAAGCTGGGGACGAGATCATTGATATTTGTCCGGTGTGTCTGTGTTTGACCGTGAAAAGATCACAAGGCCTTCCCAGAAGAAAGGCGAGCTAAAACTATACCAACAACTGATGCAGAAAGAAAGCCTCACCTCACTGGGGCCCAATTAAAATGGCCACACAGGATCACTGGAGGTTTTCTTCCCACTGGGACACATGCTGTATTTACTTGAGATACTGGGAGTGAGGTGGTGTGGTACTGGAAGCAAAGGATTGATCCACCCATTATCCAGAGCCCAAGATGTGTATAGCAGAGTTCTGCAGAAATATCAGTAAAAGACACTTGTTATGCTTCAAAGACACATTGGCAGCTTGGCTCTCCTTTTGCAAAATCTGATTATGTCTCAGGGTAATAAATAAAATAAAAAATCCCTACTCCTGGGCTGTGATACCTAATGAAATGATAAAAGGGAAAATGTTTGCTAGCTTCATTGATCTTTAAAGCACTTAAGTGAATTGTTGGTCAGGCTTTTTTTCCCCCCCATCACTGTCATCTATAGGAGCCTCAGGCTTTCCAACACTGTCAGTGACAAATTAAAAGAAATAATAATGCACTAGGGAAAGAGTCACCTGTAGCTCAGAAGAAGATAATGACAGATAATTGTTTAAAATTTGGGTTTTGTTCTTTATGTTGCAAGAGGAAAGACATGGAATAAATCTTATAGAAATACATTTACCAGCCCCCTTGTAAAGTACGGATTGCTCGTACCTGCAAACTAACAATTAGTTTGCAAATTTTTTTCCCCAAAACCCATTAAGCCAACTGCCCCATGCCCTGTACATCAGAACGTTAAGCAGCTTCAGAGGCTTTAGTTTAACTGCACAGCTGAGTAAATAAAAAATGGTCTCTTAAACGCATGACTTCTTTCAAATAAGCCAACAGCTACACTGGTTATCAGCCTGATACATGCAGTCAAGAAAGATGCACTTTGACATTTTGCGCTGTTGTGATCATTTCTAGTAATGTTATCTTGAGTCATTACTGGTATTGTAGCCATTATTCATCTTGAAGGAGTCTCCTCATACCTCTAAGGGTTTCAGGACTATACTTAATGCTTCCTGTCTTCTAATGCAGAGCGCTTTTACGTGACTGGAAAACCTCCATCTTCTTGAGGCAGGTTATCTGAAATGAAATCTGAAAGCACGGAGGGAAAGGATTTGCCTAATGGTGCATTTTCATTGATAATTAGAAATACAAGTAGTCCTATGTTAAATCCCTTATATGGCATGATCTCATTTTCTTTGAACTACAGAGTGGAACAGATTGCACGTCTGAGCAAATAGTCTGATTACTTTTTTTATATATATAGGAGTATAATTTTTTTGCTTAAAGAATAATGATAAATTTGTAATATTTTGAACATTGCGTGTACCAATGCCAAAAACATAGCAGCACACCCATCATTTTGTATTCAGTTATTTAACTACAGTGCTGCAGAAAAGTATCAATTGAATGAATTTGGATTATTGTGGGAGTGGTAAGTGGTAACTAAGGGTTAGTTTTCTTGCTTTGTTTTTTTCTTTTTCTTTTCTGTCACAGTTAAATGCTTACGTAAATCTTTACGATCTGAAAATCACTGACTAAGCTGTTGTAGAAAATAATTGTTTCCTTAATATAAAAACTTGTGATCAAACCCTTGGCAGGAACAACTATCATCTCCACATTTCAAAATGTCCAAGTTTGAAGGAGCAAATCAACCGAAGATCATCAAACTACCTCTAAACTTGTTCCACTGATTTTTTTTCTCAAAGTCTTGGCAATTATCAAGATGTTTTGTTCTTAAAACTTTTTTTTTTTTTTGCAAACGTGCGACAGATCTATATGTTCTTTTTGACCTTGCAATTTCCTGGAGATGCTATGTTTTGGAGTAATTGTTGGTTGGCTAGCATCTCCTCCACGGGCTTACCACTGTCGCATTTTTATTTCTCTTACAAATAATGTGACTGAATGTGATTTGCTGTAGTCTCAAAGTCTCAGAAATGGCATTTCAGACTGTAGATGTCAGCGACTTTGTTTCTTATTGAATGCAGCATGGCGTCTGGCTTTTTGAGATGCTTCAGCCTGCATTCTGCTGCCAAATAAGATCTATTGAAGTGATTTCTTGCTTCTACAGAGCAAGCAGTAATCAGGCATGGGCATGGATAATGAAATTGGACACATCCTTCATAAAAATGTGGAAAAAGAAAACTTTAAAATGTAAATACAGAAATACAATTGTAAGGGCACCACCTACTTTTTTAAAGGCTATATCGTAAACAACAATACATTAAAGGAATACCTTGTTTATGTGATGAGTGTAGACAGCTATATTGTACAAGACTGAGTCCATTTGCGTAGTTGTCCTAGTAAGTCTCTCCAACAAGAACAACTAAATGTATAAATGCAACAAAGTAGTTTGAAATATTTCGGTAAAAGTATTAGATGATATCTTGTGATGAGGGCGAATTTATTGCCATGCCGCCAAATACTCTGCAGGGATGCTATGTCTGTCAGAACCTTCTCTTTAAGTACAAGCTAACTAAATCAGGTCGGTATTGCATTACGAGCAGAGCCAGATGCTGAGCTCTCATGCCTAATCCAAGCCCTACAGGACTTAATGTTTCCTCTGAAAGATACTTGTTTGTGCTTCCTACCTGCTCATTTTCAGATGCAAGTCCATCTGTGGATATGGACTCACATCTGCAGCCTGGCCAAGATAATGCATCACCTGCTCTGGCCTCTCCACGCAGCTTTAAAAGTGCCAGCCTTGCACGCTATCTCGATACGGTGCAGAAAGAGTTCTTATTTTACTGCCTCTTAATCGGGGTCAGAGTAGTTCTCTTATCCTCTCAGACAGAACATAACGCTACTTTAATGGAAATTATGAGAAACTACTCTTATGTGCCTGGAACTGCCCTTTTTTCAGCAAGAGGAGATGATTTGTTTAGCTGTGCAAACCCCGTGCTTGCCTCTCTCCCACCTGTTTTCCCTCTAAATCTTTGATCTCTTCAAATCTTCAAATAGGTTACTGGGCTAATTTGTTGCTTTAAAGAAAAAAAAAAAGAAAAGCAAAAAAAAGAAAGAAAGAAGCCAAACTTATTAATAAGAGAATGTTTTCCCCATAGGACTCTCCATATTTGTGGCGATGAACCATCTCATCTTTTTCTTGGCATGGGGTGTGTGTGTTCATATCTAAACTTGCTGATCTACTTGGAATGGCTGTCATTTTTGCAATTAAGAAAAGCGCATTTTGGACCTCAAACACTTGGCCTGTGTCACTCAGGATGCCATTAAGATATTGGAATCTTCTACTCTGTGAGATGAATTGTTTTAGAGCCCATCTGCCAGGCTATCTTTGAAAGTACCTTGTTGTGGTACTAACTGTATGATTATGAATTGGGGCAGAGTGTGAGACAATTTCTGCTTTAACATGATAAGTAATATCCAAGACCTTGCTTCCTTTTTTATTATCAATAAGTTATTTCCTTGCGTTTTTTTCTTAAAACTGGTTTTTATATGGAAGTTGCTCTTTGGACCTCTTTATCCCTTTGACTGAAAATATTAAAGAACCAACTAATGTTTTTTGTTTGCTTGTTTTTTAAATATAGATATAATAAGTTCAGGTTTTAAATATTAGTTCCTTTCTTGTCATGGAATAATTTCACTGAATCTTCACAACAGAAGATGAAAATGACTATTCTTGTTTTTTTACAAGTTAAAATGTAAAAGGCTCCTCATTGATCCACATGTGCTCTATTTACCCCTAAATAAGATGCATTAAACAGAGAAGCGTCCAGGACTCCGGTTGTAACTCTGGAGGTGTTGCAGATATTCATAAAATTCCAATGAAATATATTGCAGTTAGATAAAAGGGTTGTGAATATGTTTGCTAGATGCTGTAACTCACACTGATCCCCCACTCTGAACCCTTTAGCTCCCAGTGCCCCTCCACAGCAAGTGGCGGTGTTGACGGTGGGGAGCCATAACAGCACATCCATCAGCGTGTCATGGGACCCCCCTCCCTCCGACCAGCAGAACGGCATCATCCAGGAGTACAAGGTAGGCGCAGCTCCCCCCTCCCCACCCAGACTCGCTTTTCTCAGTCATGTGTAACGAAACATTACACTGAATTCTGTCGGCTGCGTCTGTCCGTGTCAGATCTGGTGTTTGGCCAACGATACACGCCTTCACGTCAACAAGTCTGTGGACGCCACCATCCGTTCAGTCGTCGTCGGGGGTCTTCAGGCTGGAGTGCAGTACCGCGTGGAGGTGGCGGCAGGCACCAGCGCTGGGGTGGGGGTCAGAAGCAAACCCCAGCTCATCATTTTGGGTAATCCACTCCCACTCCCAATCCTGGGGTCAAATGAAATGACCTTATAATAGGGGGGTACCTGGGTCTCTATAGCGGATCAGGAGTCTGGAAAAATGATTTAGCAATTTATCGCCCCAGAAGAAAGAAGATTGTGCTTTACAACGCAGGCATCTGTGGAGAAATCAATAGTGATTCATTAAGTGTAGTGTCTGGTAACACCGTGCCAAGTACTGTTAGCCATATCAATAATCCTCCTCAATATGTGGGCAGCTGGTGCTAACACATTGAAGGCTGTGTTTTTGTAGGAGCTTATCAGCCTATCACATCTTCTGAAATAGCCAAAGGATGCCCAGACTATATAAGCCCTGAATCAATATCGCAGACCAGGCCAGATGCTCTTCATCTATGACTTTTGACTGATATATAATAACACCCTTAACACACAGAGAAGGGGAAGCAGGTCGGCGGACTGAGGCTTAATGATGGAGAGTGTACGTTCGTTTTTGCGTGTGTGTGTGTGTGTGTGTGCGTGAGTGTGTGTGTTTGAAAGGGAAGGGGGGTTCTGCTGCTGGAGACTGTGAATCTAATTTCACAGCACAGTAGCTGCAACAGAAAAATCAAACTCTGTCGGAGCTGCTCTGTCAATCTCATGTCTTGCAGCTCAAGTTGATAAGTGCACCACTGAATTGATTAAGTCTATATTGGATGCACTGATGCTGTTTTATTTTTTTCTTATTTTGTTTTTTTCTCAGATTTTTTCCCCCCCTTGTTTTCGGTTGACCTCCCTTGCTGTCCACCTGTTCGAGAAGTTGTCATGATTTTTTTTGTACTGCATATTAGGAATTTTCATTCCACTCCAAATATATGTAAAGACTATATATATATACATATATATATATATATATATATATATATATATATGTATATATATATAGTCTTTTTTTTACTTTACCTTTATAGTATGCAGAGGGTTTGTGTTATTCTTCCTCATGACAGCTAAACTGTGTGATATTCATTTTTTGTTTTCACTGAGGCATCATTTGGCATTCAGATGTTCCCCTTGTGTCTTTTCCGTCTGTGTGCATGTGAAACTTCTGCTGTGCCTTCAGGTGGAGAACTGAAGGATGTGATGACAGGATCGGAGGGCAACAACAGCATCTCAGACGTGGTGAAGCAGCCAGCTTTCATCGCTGGTTTGGGAGGGGCCTGCTGGATTGTCCTCATGGGCTTCAGTGCTTGGCTGTACTGGAGGAGAAAAAAGAGGAAAGGACTAAGCAACTATGCAGGTAAAAAAAAATAAAATAAATCTGCCCTCGTGCTTCTAAATCAACACAAGATCTCAAAGCACAGTAGGTCTCTCGCCTGCAGCGGAAGCTGATGTCGTCACAGATGTGACTCCATTTGAGGTGGCTAAAATGCAGAACAAAAGAAAATATATTCTACACAGATGGAAATAGGCCCTATTTACTTTAATTCACTGTGCAGCCATGTGCATCAGCTCTGCTGAGTTCCATCAGCACCTCACCTCAACACTCTGATACATTCATGCGAGATAAGTAATTTAACATCTATTTCCATTATCAGACCACGGCTGGTGGTGTTTGTCTATTAACATTAGGTACGTCTAGGTTTAGGTATTAAAAAAAAAAATCTCTTACTATTCCACAGATCAACCCCCAAGCCTTATGCATTTATGATTATGGAGCTACAGCTTGTACTCATTATTTAGAGACTGATTAATTACCAAAATTCAGTAGGGATTTATATCATCCCATCTAACCAATTAAATGTGTTCATCTGCATTCTAAGACATCCTGTTTACCAGGAATGTCCCAATACAAATCAGTCATTTAAGAATAGGCTTTTGCCCACACAGTCCCAGTACCATACTTCATTAAAATCAATGTCTTGTGTAGCCTATGTTTAGAAACACTAGCGTTAAATGGCACTGAAGTTTCTCAATAGATATCATCACACTACATGTTTGGGTTGTTTACATCTCAGCTCACTTATCACTGGTGCACATTATACTGCTATTTCTTCTCTCTTCTTTCTAAAGAATGACAGACTTTATTACACCAGGAGTTTTTATAGGACATTCTGCTCCAACACACTGTTAGCTTAAGAAAGCTAGTAGCATTATTTTCCTTCAATTTACAGCCAGTGTTCAATATATTTATAACACATTGCTCCTGCTGATGAGGTTTCTTGATGTGCTAAGCTAATATTAGCATGTTTACTTCCCGTTAACAGTTAATCTTATAGCATAGTTTAATGCAGTTCCAGTTAATTATGCACGGATAAAGTAACAGTAACTTTTTTTTAATCAAGCACTTTTTTTTTTTTTTTTTTGGAATGTGTTAAAATGTTTTGACCAGGTTTTTAGCTAGGCATGTTTGCCACAGATTACAGGTCACAGCAACTACAGTCTCTCTGTCACAAATGTTATAAAGTGTACAATTATTTTTAAGCTTAAAATTGGCCACATAAAATGTAGCTACGAGATATGCTACATTGTGGAATACCTTCATAAGGACCTTGATTGGATATGTGGGTACATATATATGTTCACAGTTCTTTGCCCATTTTCACTCACAATATAACTGTCTATCAATTTATGGAAGATTTTCCTACAGTAACATCAGATTTCCAATAAAACATACTCAAACAGCCTATCTTAGTAGAAATTTCTGTTTTTGCTGCCTTTTAGGAAGTTGAATTATTTTGTAACGTCAAGAAAATTATTGTTACTCAGTGCTAGTATGAAGATATTCACCTTAATTTTTGTTAAAGTCTGATTGTCATAAGAAACATATAACCAAGACAAAATGGACATAATCAGTTGAATTTTATTTCCTTTAGCTGTAGCCCAGTGGTTTCTGTTTTATATGTATACTTGAAATTCATGAATCACCTTCTATACTATTTCACCCCACTTTCTTGTCTCTTTGAATTACAGTTCAGTCCTTCACCTTTACTCGAGCTGGTACGTCTCCATATTGTGTGTTAATAAAAAAAGAGAAACTCTTGAGCTGCTCCACAATGGACAAGTCTGCAGATTAATTCTTTCTCTCTTTTCTCACTGTTTTTTCTCCCTTCAAGTTACGTTCCAAAGAGACCGAGGCCTAATCAGAAATGGAAGGTGAGAGTTTAAATTTTTCAAACCAAGGAGCTCGCGCTGAAGGAGCTTTCCTGCTGACATTTCAGCACCGCGCTGCGCGGCTGGCTCGAGCCCCATTGTAAAACCTGAAATGAAGAGTTCTCTTGTGATGAATGGAATTTGCATACTCCCTTCTCCCTTGCTTATTCATACTGTATCGGTGTATGATTCGCGCTGGTGTTCGCTTGATGAAATCATTAATCACTCCTTTGAAGTGAGTGCTAGCAATTAATGCAGGTGGGCAGCTGTTTCAGTCGCTGCCTCTCTCTGCCCGTGTTGAGGTTGCTGGCAGAGTGAGAGGTCGCAGGGGGAGAGGAGAGGAGATGAATGTGATGTTTAAAAAAGCTCAGCACGGCAGACAGTCACGGTACGTACAGTGCAGAACATAGACGTAAAAGAGCAGCAAGTCGTAACCTGGAGACTCTTCTAAGTGGTGCTTTAAATTCTAAAACTCTCCATTGAAAATGTTTGCCCACTGGGATATTTTCTGTAAAGCTTTTCTTGTAAAACCACTTCTTTTTTTTTTCCCACTAACAATTTTAGCTGATTCCAATCTCTCACTAAGAACTACAATAATTTTTACAGCTTTCCTTTCCAGTTACAGTCATTAAATACTCATATTTGGAGCATAAGTCTCTTTGTGTGTGTAAAAGAGAAACAATTATAAAAAAAAATAGCTTTACATATATTTAATAGTAAAGATAAAGAGTTCAGAATTAAAACTATAACTCCAGCTCATATGAAGGGACAACATACAATAGTGGTTTTATGAAATGGAAATGACACATGATTTTTAAGAAACAGCTTTGGAAATACAAAGAATTTCCTTTTTTGGCTTCAAAAGATAAATTTGACATAAGGTGTGACCAGCCTAAGCATAGCGAGATAATCAAATGCAGTCCTTACTGATAAAAAAAAAAAAAAAAACTTGTGGAAAACTTTTAGTTTAGTGCCAATATAAATCTATGAACCAGAAGTCAACTTAAGACACCACACTGATACAGCTGATGCTGAAATTCCTTCGAGTAAAAAAAAAAAAATTGATGTTTCAGTTACTAACATGAGCTGAAAATCTGAGAATCTGGACATGAGCTGGTTTCTTTATACGTTTCTTGCTCTAATCACATTGCCGGCTCTGTTTCCTGGAGAGTAGAACCTAATGAAAAATTCACTATATAGTGGCACATAAAACATATGAGCACAGAATGTTTGCTGAATGTGCAGGCATCAGCAGTGTCTTGCCATTTTCACTGTAGCTCATTTGAAAGGGCAGGTAATTGTTTTGTTTTGTTTTTTCCCCCACACACTTCTCAGTTCAACTTACAACTTTCCCACCTTTATCTCAAATGCATGCATTCTTACCTTTAAAAAGCCCAAAATGACGTTCTAGTGTTTTTTTTTTTTTTTTTTTCCTAAACCACCAAATGGGCTATTCGCTGTCTCTGTTGCCATGGAGACGGCACTCCGGTGTGGCTGATCTGCCAGAGGCTGTCTATGATTCTCAATTTAAAATGTAAATTTCTGTTGTGCTAAGGCTCTAAAGTGGATTTAGTGTGTGTTTAGACCTGCCGTGTTTCTCGAGGGGGAGAGCGAGGAGTGGGGTGGTTAGAATCAGTAATGGGGGGGAGGGGCTGATTTATAGACTTGCCATTTTATGTCTCTCTGTTGTTTATTGTTGCCTCTGTGCTGGGGCGGCTCCACGGTCGAGAATATGCTGAATGAGTTTTCACATCAATTTGTTGTTGATGCAGCAGGAAGAAAATGAGCTTCACCGTTGCATATGGGAAGCTGAGTAAAAATATTACAGCTTCTCCCACCCTCTCATTCCTGTGTTTTTTGTTTTTGTTTTTTTTTTGTCCAACTCCAAACGTCCTCATTACAGCCGTCCGGGGCTTTTGAAAGCAGGCGATCCGGGCCTTCCCTGGTTGGCTGACTCGTGGCCTTCTACAAGCCTCCCAGCGAACGGAGGCTTAGGGAGTCCAAAGGGTGGCAACAACTTTGGCCGAGGAGGTAAGAAACACGAGTGGCGTCGAGAGAGGGGAGGGCAGATGCGGTATTAGCAATGCCTTGGTGGACAGTTTTGACGTTCATCCTTTGGGAAGCATCATGACAGCGCATCGCATTTGCAAACACATGCATCCGAATTAACAGAGCCTCTGAGGGGTTGCATTCTCCTGATTTGATTTGACAAGCTTAATATTTGGCTTAATTTTATTTATTTTTATTTTTTTTGCTGTTTTGATATATTTTTGGCAGCCCTTCTCCTGCTGTTGTGCATTTTCCAAGCTTGCATTGCATGAGATTGATACTCCAGGTTCGTGGTTTTAATTTGAGTGCTATGATTTAAACTAGTGAGCTGCAGGCTTTCTTTTCTGTGAAAAACAGTGGAGCTGAAGGTTAGCGCGGTTTGAATATCCCCTCTTGTGAACACTCCACCAGGCTCCCACCGAGCGTTGCATGCTAATTATGCTTGTTGATAATCACTTTCATTTATATCAACTCTACTTTGGACTCGCCTTTTTTTTTTTTTTTTTAAACTAATGCAGAGCGCCAGAACAGCGGGGCGCGTTAATGACCTTAAAGATCGTTAACTTCATGTCAACTTATCTCTCCATGTTGTCTTCCTTTTGCCCATTCCGCTGCCCCCCGCTCTGTCTCCACCCCGCCTCCCCTCAGATGTTTTACCGTCTGCAGCTGTGGAGAAAACAGGCACCATGCTGTCTGATGGGGCCATCTACAGCAGTATTGACTTCATGGGGAAGGGAGGCTACAGCAGCCCGGCGCGAGGCGTCCAGCCAACCCCTTACGCCACCACTCAGATTCTTCAGTCCAACAGCTTCCATGAGCTGGCCGTGGACAGGCCAGATCCCCGTTGGAAGGCGTCTCTGCAGGCCCAGCAGGAAATGGCAAACATGGGCTACTCGTTAACTGACAGGCGACCTGGTGCTGGTATGAGCCACGTGAAAATGTGTTCAAAAACCACCAAAAGCTAAACCCTAGGAAAGAACAAACGAGAAAGGAAGGAATTTATTTACATATTCACTAAAACGGACCCTCAGGACTGTGCTCTTAATTACTCTTCTGTCTCCATCACAGTTCTACCCGGAGAGCTTATCTAGCCCAGAAATGTCACGCAACAATGACGCATTCCTTTGGCTTAATTTGATTAGCGATGGCAGAAAATCCCTCAGCGTTTCTCAGTTATTTATTTAGCATATATACGTTTTGTAAAGCCACAGAGGCATATCCGTCTGCACTTTTGTACTTCTGCACAATGTTCAGCTAAATGTCAGGCTCGGAAGAGATAAAGCGAGCCAAAGAAGGGGAGCCGTATGGAAGCATCTTAAAGCGTGTTGCCGCGGGATTTTTTTAATGCCTCTTTAAGAAATGTCAACATTTGGGAAATGTTTTAATGTGCTGTCAGCACAAAGAAAAGGAAGAGATGAACTTTGAGCAGGAAGACAGGGGTTTTTAAAGATTCCAGCTGTCGACGCTGATGGAAGATAACTTTCAAAGCAAACTTGAATGTGTGTAAATTTGATATAGATTGATACTGAAGAGTAGAATACAAAGTGGCTTCTCAGAGTTATTTCTCTTTTTTTTTTTTTTTTTTGGTTTCCTACCCCTAGGTGCGAAGGTTGCAAAGAAAAAGAAGATCAAGGGAGGGACGAAAACCTCAAAATCAAATGGGACTTGCTGGGCAAACATGCCTCTGCCTCCTCCACCCATGCACCCTCTGCCAGGCACAGAGGTTGACCTTGATCGGTACCCGCAGGACAACCATAAAGGAAGGTAAGACTTAGATTTCATCAGCCGTGCCTCTTCAAGCCAAAGGCAACAAAAATAACGGTAAAAGGAAAAAAAGAACAAAAAACAAATTTAACATCAGGGGCAAAATTTACCAAAACTTTTTAAATGTGTGCTTGTCTGCACACATTTGTAACATTTACATTTGCTCACTCTTCTTCTGCCATGTTCCAAGCATGTCTTTTAATGGACTCTTATGTGATAGACCAACACAAAGTGGTGCATAACTATAAAGTGGAAGGACATGTGGTTTTCAAAAGTTTTTGCAGACAAAAAAAAAATCTGAAAAATGTGGCTCAGTCATCCTTACCCTGATATCCTTCAATTGAAATCTCGCACTGTATGAAATAGTAGGACAGGACTGCAAACTGACCGAGAGTTAGCTGTCCACTTAACAAGATGAAGAAAGGAAATCAATAATCAGTGGAATAACAAACATGACTGTGAAGTGGTACATAGAGGCCTTAGCAGGTTTTGCCACAAAACGTGTAGAATAGAGCAAAACATGTGGAAGAAGGTTATCTCTTTAAATAAGACCAAAAAGAACTACTAACTCTAAACAATAAAGCACAGCATTCTGAAAATGCCAGTCATAGTGAAGGTGGTCTGAGGTGACCAAACAGGTGACTGTCACAGCTCAATAATTTTGAAAAATACTTCTTAATGACTATGCACTACTTTGTTGTGGTCTACCACATAAAGTCCCAAATACATAAAAGCTGGTGGCTGTAACCTGACATGATGTGAAAAAGTTAATATAAATATCTTTGCATATCCCTGTACCTAAGGGATATGCAAAGATATGCAAAGACCTCCTGACCCCACTAAGGGACAAGGGTGTACAGAAAATGGATGGATGGATAGATATAACTACCAAAATTCTTTGTTTCTCCACATCACATCTTTTCCTCATGACTCCAGCAGCAACAGCTGGGCCCCGCCCATGTCTATCCAGACCTACCACCACCAGGATTTGGACAGCGAGGCGGAGGACGAGAGGGGTCCCACTCCACCGTTAAGAGGAAGATCCTCCTCGCCAGCTCCCTTCAGCCAGCCCTCATCTTCCTCTCTCAGTTCTGCCCACCATGAAGAAATGCAGTCCATCTTGCAGGCCCACTTAGATGAACTCACCAGAGCTTACCAGTACGAAGTGGCCAAGCAGGCATGGTAAGGATGCATGATAGCAGCAGAGTTTTAAATTATCATGTGGACTTAAAGATATGTTACCCTTTTCAGTCAGTTTTCAGAAACGGCACTCCATTAAAACTACCCTGTTGAAGTTCTGTAGCAATTTTCTATCTGTCCATCCATCCATTTTCTGTACACCCTTGTCCCTTAGTGGGGCCAGGAGGGGTGCTGGTGCCTATCACTGAATTAGAGTGCTTGTTGTCCCAGTTATTCAATAGGACTTTCTCTAAAAATATATAAAGTGGTGGTTTATTTTATTTTCTAAATCTACCTGTCCAACCTGTGGAGCTCCACAGAATTCACTCCTCGTTCCTTCATTTTTTTTTTCTTCCTATATTTTTATATTTAGCTTCATATAGTAAGGGTGCTGATATTACATCCATTTTATATTCTCTGTTTGGTCTAAGATACATTTTAAAATGAATTTATCAACCTAAAGAGTTCTTCAAAGCCACAAATACCTCATATTGTACAATAGCAACCTCAGAGTCTGGTTTTTATTGCCCTACACAATTAGTGTTGACTATGGAATATTTTGCCATCACTGTGTTGTTTATTAACTATCCCTTTCAATGACTTCAAAAACCAGCTAGAAGTTTTTTTGTACCACCCCCCCTATGGATTGGCATTTAATTCTTCATCAAAGATTTTTACATTCCTCTCCACACTGTGTTTTAGCAGGTCGTTTTCTGTACGAAAGGTGTTGCCATTTCCTCACTTTGCGCAGTTGCAGAGAAACCTGTAATTTTATTCCATCGATTCATCTCGTCGTCTCGGTTTTGCATAACAATGGCCAGCATTCGAACGTCTTAGGATGCTGGTATTTGCTCGTGTCATCCCAAACCTGCAGTCGATGTCTCCGGCGAACGATAAAAAACGTTCTTGCCATTGATTACACCTTCGACGAAGCACTGAGGGGAACTTGATAAGTCGGGGCTGACACATGTTGGTGGGGGGGGTAATGACTGGGTTTAGTCTTACATGCTGGTCTGACATCAGTAAATAGAGTTGGTAATTATGCATGCATCTCCTCTACGGTGGGATTGGAGCCATCATGGAGGACAGCTGTGCGGGAGATAACAGGCATGTTGCTGACAGCCCTGCCCATCCAGATATCCTTTATCCAGTCCAATTACAACTCCATTGTGTTAGCACAACACACACTACTGCTGAGAAAGTAATCAGCGAAAATCACTGCAGACATTCGTAGTCTTTGCACATTGCATCTTTACGCTTCTGAACATCCAGTGATTCTGCATTCTAATGCTTGTTTTGCGGTATTTTCTCCTGCTCTTTATCTGACCTCCATTGCATTTTGATGGATCGACCGTGCTTATTAATGCGGCGTTTGCCCACATTTAATTAGGCATATGAAGAGCAGCGCTAATGTGTCCAGCAAGCCGATGGACTTCATGTCGAGTACGCTGGGCTCTGATCTGGGAGCAACACTCCTCTCTGAAGACGACGAGGAAGAAGAGGAGGAGGAGGATGAAAGATATGCTGTGGTGTCAAAGAACTTGTGCAGCTTTGAATACACTCCTGGCCACAGCGTGGATAGCCTTGAAGGCACAGGTATGTGCTCTTATTATTAAAGAGAATGAATATGAAAGTTCATTATGACTTTGAGGAGATGAGCATGGGGAGGTTGGCTGGATCAAGGTGTCCCAAGAGCATTTAATCTGCTAGTGTAGTTAGAATTTGATTTATTGAAAATGAAATAGTCCTATTGCACTTTCTGTATCTTGAAGGAGTTAACTTTAGTTGTGCTTTATCAAATGTTACACATTCAAAATCAACAGCCAGTAACGTATTTGTCATTTCTATTTCTATTTTTATTTTATTTACTCATATTTTAATTCATGTCTTTGTTTACGGACCTATTTGTATCTTAAGTAGATGTAATGAAGGTAAAGTTTATACAATAATATATACAAAAGATTATATAGTCTTAATTTAATTAATGAATTTGGAAAGTACCACATCATTACCTGAAAATGATGCATCTCACTGGTCTTTTATTTTTCTTGCTCTCTTTTCTTGCTACCAGAGTCGAGTTTAAGAACTATGCAGAATATGAATAAAAATCAGAAAAAAAAAATCCAAAATCTTACTTTGAAAGTTCTTCAGAAAGTTTGAAGAACTATTGATCAAGACCATTTTAAACAATAATAAATAATGTGGTTCTCAGTGGATGAAGAATAAAAAAGAATAAAAGGTACTTCAAAACACAGCAGTGTCTTAACACTTAGTATACAAATTGTGCCCATTTGACTGGCAATGTAAAGGTGATTTAGAATGAAACAAATGTGCTGTATGTTTCTGAAAGAAAGGGGGAAAAACTGTTGACAGCCTTCTGTTTTCACCCTGATGCTGAAGAGTCACTACAGCCTCTCAAAGCACTTTGTCAAGAAATTGCATTTATATTGGTCAATTTCTCCAAACACAATGGATCCATGTTCAGAGTAGAAGCAAGTGGATTACTATTTGTAGCGGGCCAATTTTTAAAAGATGAGAGGAGGAAATGTCGGTGAATAAATTCCGTGCATGATAAAATGAAGCATTATTTAATATTCTGTTACACACTTCGTTTAAACAATGAAAGGTTGATCCCCACCATGCTCCAATATGGGGGCTGTGTATTCAGCGGGGTTGACGTGCTAGCTTTCAGTCAGTCATAGCAGTTTCCATTTACGCTAAAACTTCCAGTTTTGATGTCCTCTAATCGGAACTACTCCTTCTACGTTTTTGACCCGAACTGACATTTTTATGTTTTTCTTTCATTGTTTTTTTTTTGTTTTTTTTTTTCATTGTTCCAAAAAGGCCAGACATGTGGAGTTCACAAGTAATTGTGCCAGCAGAACTGAGGATCTGTCCAGCTCTGTCAGAGTTACCACGGGTCTCTTGGCTGCTTTTCTGATTAATGTTCTTCTCATCTGTCAGTTTGATTGAACAGCAATTTATTGGTAGATTGGGAGCTCTGCCATCAATTATCAGATTCCAATGCAACTTGAGCCACTGTGGTGGAAACAGAGGCAGGCTGTACCAGCAAAATACTAAAACTATTCATAGACTTTGAATCATTGCAGCCACTGTTTTAGATGATGTATTTTAGGGTTTTAAACCATCTATTAAAAGTCACATGTCATCATTCTCGGATAAATGTAGAAGCCATAAAATATTTTACAATTTTATGCATTTATAAATAGGTTTCCGCCTGAAAGCTATTCTTTTAGAACTCAGAAACTTGATGGCTTCTCCCACAGGGACAGAGCTGCACCGTTTTTAGACCCCGGCGTTTGATAAGTTACGACTGACGGGCACGCTGAGAAATACGTGTGTGTTCATTACTTTTGATAACCCGTCGCGGGGCAGAAACAGTGCGACTATAAATATTTACACACATTAGCAATGCAAACGTGCCATCATCTCAGATCTTACAGACACACATTATAAGTGAAAATATGAATCTTTGGTCTGGTTCCTTGAAGCCACGGGGCGGAGCCACATCGCTTTTTATTATCCCACAAAGGATGGCTTGTCCTTAAGGCTGTCAAATTCTCTGAACAGCACACCTACTGTGAGCTCTGTTGTCCTCTGAGATGTGGGAAAACATTTTTATGCCTCGTTTTGAGACAGGTCTGCAGTGCATGGCGAAAATATTCACTTAATTCCATCTTTTTGACGTTTTATCAATACCCTGATGATAAAACATCAGTATATTGAAATTTTATGTGAATAATCTACACAAATTAGCGTGTGATTGTGAACGGGAACGGAAATGATAGAGTTTATAAACTGTTTTCCGAATAAAAATCTAAAAAGTGTGGTGTGTGTTTGTGTCCGCTCCTCCATTTGAACCACATTTTACTGAAAACACAACTGCCAGTGTCTTGGTTTATTTCTCTTCCATGACTTTGACATACACACCTTTTTTATTTTCTTTTTACCCATTCTTCACTACAAACTGAAACTCCAGCTGGAAGAAGCTCGTCTATATAAATCAATTTTCAAATGTTGCTTCTAAACGCTCATTTGATTCAGGTCTATTTGCTTCACCTCGGTTATTCTAACACATGAATATTCTTTAATACAAATTATTTTTAGTCTGGCTTTTATGTTTAGGATTTAATCATGCTGGGAGATGAACAATCTGCTTTGTCCATTGCCACAGCATGATGCTGCCATTACCATGATTCACCGTGGCAGTGGTGGTTTTAGGGTAGTGTGGAATGTTAGTTTTCTGGTAAATTCAGCATTTTGAATGCAAGCCAAAAGGTTTGATTGCTTTCCTCCTAGCTACAAACTAGACAAAATGCTCTCCTTATCTTTCCTATCAGTGCATGTGGACCACCATGCATTGGTAGGTTTGCAGCTGCGCTATGCGTTCTGCATTTGCAGATAAGTGATTCAACATGTAGAGAATTGTTTTAAAGCCTAAAAATATACTTTAAACCTCTCTATTAGTTTATCCCTCCGAGTTCTTCACAGAACAGCTTATTTTCTACCAATTTTCACTTATATTACGTTGGGCGTTACTACGTTTCTGTAGGCAGTCAGCTACACTGGATTTGATTTAGGGGCATTGGGGTAAAAGAGGCTGAATACATTATTGTCCTTCTGCCTCACAGGTATTTACTATTTCTATCAAAATACAACAAAAATATACATTAAAGTTTCTGTTTGTAAAATAAAATAAAAAATCTGGGGTATGAATCCTTTTGCACAACAATGTTAGCCTTCTACTCATTGTACAGCTGATATATTTTAATAGCTGTGGAAAAATGATCATCTATCATAACTGACTCATTTCCTCTTATCACAGGGAAATCCACCTTCCACAGCCACACTGATAGCTTTGGCTCCTCAGACCACGGTGCACATGGCACACATAGCCTCGGACACAAGGGGGCACCGCTTACTGGCCACAAACCTCAGACAGACGAGGTTGGAACTCTTCCCAGACGAAGAGACACCAACACAGACTGTGAGTTTTGGACGGCGGCGCTCCCAGACGACTGTTTCTCAAACATGATTCCTCTTTTGTGATCGGGCGCATGTTATGATGTCTCATTTCCACGTTGTCGTCTCTTACCATCCACTCGACAGCCCACGCGCCGGCCACAAAGTCCCTGCACAGCATGGGGTCCCACATGCAAAGCCCGTGGGCAGCTGCAGCACCGCACCCCTCGGAGGAGTGCATGGTAACCGTGTCGACACTAGAGAGACAGCATATGGCTTCCTGGAGTGGCACGACATCGTCCGGCAGGGCCACCCTGGGTAGGGGTTCCCACAAGAGACCTGGCGCAGAACTCTCCCACGACGGGCATCCTTCCACCAATGGCACAGAGAAAAGGGAACACTGTAAGTGTCGATACTAAAGCTCCTTTGGAGACGGATCAATCTGAATGCAACACAGAGGGGAGTTTCCAAAAGAGCATGGTGATTTTTGACTTGCAAGGAAGCTCTTCCTAAATGCATATGCTTGGAAAAGTTTGATCACAGAATATAAATACACAAATATCTGGAAACGTGGGGGATATTCCACATGTATATGAGTATCTTTAAAAGAAATGTTTTCTGTTTGTTCTGAAAACGCATTTCTAGCTGTGGGGAAATGCAAAATCAACCTACATACCAAAAACCGGCTTCCAGCGCTGAGCTGTTGCCAGTGGCCACTTGGCATCATTTCTTTCAGTTTCCCCTATCAAAAACATTGGCTGTGGTTCTGAGAAAACGAAGCCAGTTTTACCTAAGCACCAACACTATTCTGGGCCAGATCAAACACCAGCTTTCATCATGGACTTGCGGTGGAGTAATGCAGACCAACAGCCTAATAAAATGTGTTGAGTGTTGAGTGCTGTGTTAAAAACTCGTGTTAGTTTTGCTTTTAGGTTGCCAAATGGGAGAAGCAGAATGAACGAAAAGATTAAGTTTAAATTGTTAAAGTCTGATTAGCTCTGGAATAGCATGAGCTCATTTTCTCACATTTGTCTTGGACTTGAACTGCATTGGTTGTAAAACCATATGTAACAGATACCAGTTGGTTCTTTACACACCTTTGTTGATATTCCCCTTTTGTTTTTCACAGTGATCTATAAAAATATGCTCCTCTCTACCTCAGTGTTTCTGAGGGTGTTTCCAAACCCGGTAGACTGGGTTTGACTTGTGACCAAAATTACAACATTTGTTACATTTTCAGCTGCCGGGGTTTCACTTTCACACTGCACTGTGTCAACAACCTAAACCCTTCGTAAACCCTGTTCACCACCTCACCTGTGGTGGCGCTGCAGCAATAACTACAAAAGGAAATGACATCAAAAAACTTCATAGAAGACGTGCACAATTTTCTATTTTTTTTGCAAAATGTAATAAAAAATGGAGTATAGTGGATTTTTGGCGATTGTAGCCATTTCTCCTGCTAACTCTAGTCTCTCACATTCTTTTAGATTGTATTTACCCAGAATGCCCTGCAGTATAGTCAACTTCCATCTTTTGGAGCGATCTTAAGCATTCAAACCACACCAGAGTTCAGCCGAACTGAGACCTAGGTTTTTAGGTGGACCAGAGTTAACTTTTTTTGGTCTGCCTCAGAGTTTGATTGCACGTTCACATCTCCTCAAATGAACCGGACTTTCTAGACAAAGGACGGTGCTGCTGTGCCAACTCAACAAGTTAATGCCACACTACCACTAACTCATTGTTTTGAAGACCGGTGAACTTCTCACACAGATCTGATGGGAAGATTGATGGAGCTAAAGAAAGAAAGAGAGAAATATACCCTCCGATAATGTCGATTTCGGCCAATATGACAGACTGATATGACAAAGATTTTCATAGCTGGAAGACACATATGCCAAATGTCTTGCCTAAGAGCACGTCCCGTTTCATTCGACTTCCCTTTAACATGGTGGTGGAGCAGTAATCTACAAAAGCTTCATCGTCTGCCTCATTCTCAGATGTGCCCATACATTTAGTTACATAACTGAGTCTTGTCCAAGATCCTGGAGTGTTAGACACTGGTTGGGTCAGATTAAGCAGCACTGACCTTCACTACAGCTTTCTAAAATTGCTGTGTTTAGGTTCAGACATGTTAACAGGCTTGTAAACAGGTTTACAGCTTTTCCTTTAGAGGAAAGTGTATAGTGGTGTATAATCAAATTAAGGTCAGCCTGACCTCTCAGCTCATAAATTCTGGATTCTGAGGAAACACTGTACCTCGACTTTTCTAAACACTGTAAGAGGATCTATCGCCGCAGTATCTCACAGTAATAAAAAGGCCACAATATGTCAGAGTGAAGTCAGCTATCCAGCTGTTGTCAGCATGTGACGGTCAAATGGTGAAGTAGGTGTAAGCTACCGAGTCACAAATGTGAAGGCAAGAGCTTTAAGTTTGACATCCTATTGCATCGTCGCCTGAGAAGTAGAGCAACTGCTCCCCCATTTTTGATAGGAGAAAATCTGATCACTTCCTCGGATTGGATGAATGCATAAAGTCTAAAAAATCTTTTGTCTACATACTGAAGATGGATAAAAAATAAATAAAAAAATGCTAAATTTTAGTCTGGACTTCCCTCACCTTTGAGTTGGTTCGATCCAACTTGCCTGTGTGCCACACTAATTAGGAAACAAAAGTAAATTAATTTCATGACGTTTTCCATTAAACAGTGGATGGCCATGATGGGGGTTTAGAGGAACATAAATATTTGTGTGGATAAATACCACAGATGTTGGTTGAGATGCCTTTTACACTAAAGACACTGGCAGAAGTGCATTGATGCCACCTAGTGGTTGGAGTGAGAACTAAACATGGTTCAAGAAAGCAGAAGTGCGGACCACATGGGGATCCGTTTTTATGCATCATGTCGTCTCAAAAGCTTGATGTTATATTACAGCTCTAATAAATGGCCACATTTATTTGTTTTCAAGGAACAAAATCTGTGCAAAAAAAACATGTCCATTTGGGTAAACACTTCAACCTTTAAGGATAAAATACAGAATAAATATGATGATTATGATGTTAAATATAAAAATTAATAAACAATTTTATTTTATTTTATTTTCTACCAGGTTGACTCATCATCAATTCAACAACAATAAATTCTAATAGTTTTTAAGAATAAAGTTTAAATGGAAAGCCTACATGTCTGCGTTAAGAGGAGCTGAAAAGTCAGATGGTGCATTCAAGTACACAAACCCACCGATGCCCCAGATGTAAAAGCAAAGGATTTTGAGCCCATTTTGTAATTCTGTTTTCTTCGTCTGGGTTTCTTTTCAGAGTCATTGTGAGGCATCCATCTCCTGCAGATGTGGTCTGTCCCCAGACCTCTTGTTTTGTAAGCGTTATGAGATTTTCTCCAGGCACGGATGGTATTCAGAAGCCGGAGAGGACACTAAATGGAAGAAGAAGAGCAAAAAGCATCGAAGGAAACATAGAGCTGTAAATGTCATGTACAGACACAGACACCACTTTCACAGTGTTATTTTTACCCTCCCTCCACCCATCTCCCCCTTTTCTCTCTTTGAAAGAGTAAATAATATGTTATATGTCCGCTTCTGTTTTCTGTCACATGGTGATCACACAGTGGAGATGTGACGAAAAAGGAACCACACAACAACAATGACTTGTTAAACGATGAAAGGACTTGCATAATTTGTAAATATATATTTTTAATGTTATTTTGTTTTTCTCTTTCGTTTGCTTTGCTATGCAAGCCGAATCCAACCGTCTCTTTTTGTGATTTATTACTGTGAATCTTTTTTTTTTTTTTATCTTTTTTTTTAAATCATGCTCAAACTATTGGCTTTTTTTTTTTTTCTTGACGAAGCTACTGTATTGTTGTATTTTGCACAGAGCATTTTTTTTTTTTTTTTTTTTTTGGGTGAAAATAAGCACAAACTCATTTTCAGCTAAGCTGACGAGGAGAATCATAATGGAAAAGAGTGAGATCTATATTAAAAGAGTGGAGAGTCAGAGGTCATACTGTATATTTGGCTGTGCTGTAATCGTTTGGGGAAATAACAGGTACACACTTGAAACTAATATGCCAAAAAAAGAAACAAAAGACAAAAAAAAAAAAAAGAAAACGAACTAACAATTTCTTCATATCTCTTGCTGTGAAACTCGTTAGAGATTACGCCAAGAAGTGTTCTCAGCGGGTGGCAAAGAGAACACATTAACTCTGATATCCAAAGGAAAGACGTAAAACATTGGCTGCATCTCTGCCGTTCCGAAGAAGAACATTTTAATAAATAATATATCATCGTATCGTTTCCAGTAACATCTCTTGACATGATGTGCAATATCAAGGACGCAATGTGACAGTTATGGGAAATGAGACGGTAAAAGCGACTTGGTGAAAGTCAGAGATGACGCATCAGACAGGTGGAGTAAAGTGACCTAATTTCACCTGCAGGCCGAAAGTGTGTAAAATATAGGACAGCTCTATGTGACTTCTAACATATATGACATACTCTGCTTTGAGGAAGTATCGGCCCCCTTGCATTACAGATTTCTTCTGATCAGTCGCCACACCTGCTCATCTACGTCAGCAGCCACGCAGGAGTTTTTACCCTACCGTGAAAAAGTATTTGCCCCCTTACGGAGTTGTTTCGTTGAGGCATTTTTGTCACGCTGGAATGTTTTAGAACGCTCACTTTGCTCTGAGTAGCTCGAATGACATTTTTGGATTTTGTGTTGTCTTTGTCTTACATTGAAACAGAAGAAATCTGTAAGGGACAAGTACTTTTTTCCGCAGCATCTCGACTCCTTTTATCGAACTTTTCGGTTTACAGTAAAAACATCTTCATTTCCAGATTTTACTGACAGCCAGATGTTAATATTCAAGATGTCCAAATGCAGCTTGTTAAGATATTTCTGCCAAATGTATCCAGAGTTTTTGGTCGCCAGACCTGTTGGGATGATTATGTTCTGGGATTTTTTTTCTTTTTTTTCTTGTAATTGCTCACCATGTGAAGGATCTTTCCGTGACAGATTGGTTTGCCTTCAGGAATGCACAGCCACATACAGACGGAGTTTTGTTTTTTTTGTTTTTCAATCCTTGATGCAAAATAAAACGTGTATGTGAAAATGAACTGAGGCTCTCCCTCACGATGCATGAGTCCGAAGCAACCTTTGCATTTATTCAGAGAAGTGTGCAGGGAAAGGCAGAATCATTTTGGTTCCAAATTTAACAGCAATATTATTATCACAAGAGCTGGATGGCGTTATTAACGAATATATGGCACTCAAAAGTGAAAGGAATATAATAAAACCATTTTCATGATATCTGGAAAATGTTTGATCTCAGTTTTGGTATTTTTCAAGCAGATTGCAGCATCTTTGCCCGAATGATAAAATAGATTTTGACAGGCTTATTTAGCTTGATTTGATTTTTGATCAACTCCCACAATAGATATTTTTCCACATGCTTAAGGGATTGTCTGATATTTGATTTCAAAGCACAGCAGCCTCCACGCTTGATGACTAAAAAGCTATAAAATGAATTCATTTTCAGTGCAGTACCTCAAAATTACATGGAAAATTTTTGAAGAATATACTGTTTACATTTATTTACTGGTTTATGCAAAAGTGTTTTTTTTTTATCGAATAATAAGCTCTACAATTTGTATTGAATGCATAAAAATTGAATACACTGTACTTTTTATTTTTTAAGTCGGTCAGTGCTTGTCGAAAATAAGAGTCTTAATATAAATTATTTTTGTTACAAGAAAAGATACAATTTAAATTAGGCAATTTTGTGTTTATCTTCATAAGAACAGAAAGAGATACCTGAAAATGACTTTCTGCGATCTACAACATGGATAATGATTGAGTCCATGTTCATCCTGTCATCATGCACAATGTGCAGGTTGATCTGAGAGGAAAAACAAAACAACAAAAAACCTGAGATGACTGATTTTTCAAGTGTTGTCCAATTGGCAAAAAAAAAAAAAAAGAAAATAGCCATATGAGTTCTTTTTATATTTCTGATTGTTCTGTTCCCCCCGCTGGATAAATATTCGTCGTGTGGCATTATGCAACTGCAATAAAACACCAATTCATTTTAAGATCTTTTGCACTGGTTACTAGTAAATGTTGGAGGTTCATGTGCGAAACTTTGTCTGCGATAGANAATTCTGTTTGTTTCAGAGATGTGCCGCTGTTTCAGTTCCCTGACTACAAAGAAAACGGTGTTGCTGTGTTTTCTACAGAGAACCAGAAACATTTATCTGGACATGCAGAGCTGCAGGCCATGCCTCTTGGCTGAGTCTCCATTACAAATTAGATTCTGCTAATGTAAAAAAAAAAAACACAATTACAATGTTTCCATTAGATAAGAAACAATTAAAATCACATGTGAATAAGTTCTACCTGTCCCATCATCCTACATTTACTTCCTGCCTTCTTTGTGGTTTGTGCCAGTAGTAACACCCAGTTGTTGACCATGTGACTCATGATGCAAAAAATTAATGATTTTGAAATGTTCCTCCATCCTGAGAATGGATATTTCCCCTCTTGCTAGGCCAGGATTTTGAAAATGATGTCACTATTCACAACAGAAATGTCAATGAAATGGTAAAAAAAACAAGTCTTGTACCACTTAATGGTCTTGGTTCTGACAGGATAGTACTGGATCAGGGCATCTGACAAATCAACTCCTCCCATGAATTTATTATAGCCTTTCACAGAGTCAGGCACAGTAATGTCTTTCACTAGCCACTGCCCTGCCTCTTTGACTCTCCTCTGCTCTGTTTCTCCACTGTAAGCTCTGTGAAAGGTACTGTAGACTCTCACCTCCTTGTAGAAATTATCCACATATAAATGCCATCCCTTTACTAGAAGTCCAAACTCCATGAGGTCCATGACAGATGTGATGCTGAGGCCCTCATCTCGAACTGTGCCAGTCTCTCCCTGGTAGATGAAAAGACTCCATGTATACCCAGACCTGAAATCTGCCAAAACACAGTTTATACCCAAACCTGGCAGGCTTGTTCCTCATAAATTGTTTGAATTCAATTTGGGCTTTACTGGCCACCATGCATTCGTCAATGCATATTTCTCTGCTTGGTTGACAGAGAGACTTGCAGGCAACTCTGCTGTCATCGTACATGGGTCTAATTTTGAACAGCCGATCATACTGAGGTGTTCCCTTTTTTCCTCAATTTCATCGTCTTTTATGTTAGACAGTTGAAGGGACCAGAAGATGGAATCAAATCCGTCACGGGTCATGCAGTTTCGTGGAAAAGGAAAATGTACGGCCACTTTGTTTTCCAAAAGTCCTGAAGGTACTTAAACCAATCCAGTGGTGAAGATAATGATGGCTAAAAATTTGTAGAAATCTCCACTGTCAAAGGTGACCATGTGAACTTTTTCCCAGCTCCAGGTAATCTTTCTGCATTTTTAACTGTGTTGAAGATTATATTTCGAATGGTGATTCCACTGAAGGAAAGCTGGAACAAGCTGAGGGGTGACCAGGTCTGTGTGGTGTCCATCTGGGGTCCTGCAGGTTTCTTTGGTGAAAATGTAGGACATTCTGGCTCATCTGCAGTTTGCCAAATGTCCTGATCTTCGTCTTGGTGCACTGAGGAGTTACTTTCTGTCGTTTTCTTGCAGTCTTTGACGAACTTCTTTCTTTTTGGGGCTGGAGCCCTTCAGCTCAGGTTCAAGTTAGCTATGGTTTTACATAGAACCAGGTTTGTTTGGGCAGCGTTTTATGCCCTGATAAATTAAATCATCACATCAAAACAGCCTCTTAACCCTTGTTTGTGCGAGGACTGAGGCAACTAATACAAGTTTTACATGTGTGGTCGGTTGGACTCCATTTCTAACCACAAGGGTTAAAGGCTAAAATACTTCTGATCATAAATTTTGGACTTTATATTTTCTGTATTTTACTTAAATGTTATTTTTTATTATTATTAATTAGTTCTTTTGCTGTGGTTCAGCCTGAAATCCAGGAAAATCTCATTAAACTGACCAAGTATCTACTTAGCTCATGCAGATATGCATCACGCTTCAGTAGGTCCAGGAAATTAGGTCTGTGGAGGAGCATGTTGGTTATCAGACATGAGTCTAACAGACCGTTCTGCATTAATTATAGAAAAAAACCTGAATTAAAGTGGGAAAGCTGAGACGAGGACGCTGCGAATTGAGTCAGCAGTTAATGTTTCCCGTCCGACAACAGCCTGACGGCGCTCAGTTTCACCAGAAACCTTTGTTTGACATTCTCCTCATGGCATTTCTCGTTAGTAAAGGATGAGCAGGAATCCCGCGCAGGACGCTAACGAGGGACGACGTGCGGCAAAGGTTGAGGCGAAGGCTTCTCAGAACCGGACGCTGACGTCGGCGCAGAGATGTGACCTCATGTTCATGGAAGGAAGAGAAAAAGTCTCAGAAATCACTTCAGTGTTTGTCCTCGTCGTTGTGCCCGCTCAGCTACGTCATTGGGTAACCTTTGTGGAGTAAACCTTCCTCTGATTGGCTGGTGGCAGTCAGGGAAAATGTCACAGTCGGATGTGGTTGGTGTGTCTCTGATGGAGTCACTTATGCCCCTGAGGACGGTTCAGTCAGGAAGTGAAGCCCTAAAGGCTTTC